GTGTCATAAATCAGCACAAGGCAAATAACTTGCTTGCTTTAACAAACTTCACTTGCTTCAAGGCACGTTCCATGAATAATGTTCAAATTAGGAGCTCACACTCTTACAAGATCACTGAAGGATGTGTTTAACCTTCATAAAAAAAATTGTTCATAACCTTCATAAAATGTTGATTATCAACCTGATTAAAGTCAAACTAAATATTAAATGAATGTTTCGTTTTCTATTTATTTTATATGAGGTAGGGCTGGGCGATAAATAGATAACGATAATTATTGCGCGATATAAATTTCCTCGATAAACGATAACAAGAGGTCGATACATTTTCGATATAATGTGTATGAGGCAAAGGCGGAACGAAAGAGCCCAAATCATTTGAAGCGCGTCCCTCGGACCGTTTATCCACTCGGATCAAAGTTTAAACGGCGGCGCGAGCTTCACTAAAGCAGATGCGTTACTCGCTGATCAGTCTCGATCAAATGGTGCTGTGAGATCCAGTGTGAAGCGCTTGTATTCAGCGAAGAACACAAATAAGTCTGTTTTAGGGCTGTGCGATATGGACAAAAAAAAACTATCGCGATTTCTTTGATCAATTTTGCGATTTCGATTTTAATCACGATTTTGACACACACAGACATGCTTTACAGCCATGAATGCATTCAGTGTGAATTTGAAACATATTTCCAAAAGAAAACCAATTAAAGCTTTATCAAAAAGCTGTAACATGTCTCTAGAACAGACATAAGGCAAAATAATCACTAAGTAAAGGTGTAACAAAATGTCTCTAGAATAGACATATGGCAGAAAAAAAAAATCCAGTTTCCAGGGATTTTTTTTTGCCATGCATTGGTCATAGAGCTCTTTGTGGCGTTGCCTCTGAGGTTGAACTAGATTTGTTGCACCAAGTTCACAAGTACTCCATCTGCAGTGCGTATACAGTATGTGTATGCGGTGCAGAAGCAGCACGGACTCATTTTGCTTTCGCACAGGACGCGTTTGCAGTCCGCTCCTGATCCGCGGCTGTTTACCACAAACACAACATTTATCCATTATTTTGATTTCAAATCCAAACGTTGTTTCTGAAAATGCTTTTTCAGCATTGTGATTCTCTTTTATCACAGTACAGTAATACAATCTTTCATAGACATTCACGTTTAAACTCAATAAATATAACTGTTTAACTACCACCACGAGTGCCATCTATTATTGCCTTGTTTATCTAAAAGTGCACTTTTCCTTGTTTTAAATCTAGCCAAAAAGCCATGTGTTGACTGTGAAACAGTAGACATTAATTATATGCATTTATGGTGTAATTACTAAATTTCCATGCCAATCCATGTTAATTTTTACCGCGAATAATGCGCTGTCAGCGCTGAGTCTGACAAACCGGAGAAACACGGTGCGCAACGATACAGTTAGAAGACTTTTTAATCTACAAATTGCCATCATTTACCATAGATTTACTGTAGTAGCACTATAACTGCACCATGGTATTGTGTCAGAAATGTGGGTATTTGTGTCAAATTTATATTATTAATTTAGACATGTTTTTAAATGTATTGAAAAAGGAGAAATTGAAAATATATTTACAGTATTTTTTTTTGTGATTACGTTATAGCGTTATATATAGAGCTACTGTTTTTACCTAATAGGGATGTAACGATTACCGGTTTGACGATAAATCGTGATAAAATACCCCACGGTTAGTATTACCGTTTCATATTTTAATTATCACTATAACCGTATTCGATTACTGCGATTTGAACAACTGAGGATAAATAAATACTGTACTGCACAGGGCTCCAGTGTGCGACCAAATGGGCGCATTTTGCGATAATTTTTTCTGCCAGTGCAACTAAATTTTGTGTGCGGTCGCATTGGCGCGACCACCGCATTGTTTAACTCATAAGCGCTGCATTTCTTTTGCATGTGAGAAACATCAAACGGCAAACGAAACTGAAAGCATAACGAAACCGCGCGACTCGTTTGAGCTGCGCAGCGCTTAGAGTGTAGAGCCTGGTTTATACTCGCCGCGTCAGGAGCGCGAAGCTGCGTGCAGCAAAAATAATGCGAATATTGAGGAAACGATGGATGGGTTTCATTCTAAAGTAAAGTAAAAGACCGCTTCTTAAACCAAAGGTGAACATGTTGGTATTCTTGTGGGACAAAAACATGCAAGCACTGTCACCGACAGCAAGTTTAGTTTTACTTTTCTTTTTGTTTTCATTTTGAAAAGCTCGTTATCTTTGCTCTTTACTTCACGTTATGCTATGGATGCTCTCTTTTTTATTTATTTGATTCCTCAGTGTTTGCTAAACGTTCTGTAATTTATTAGTCGGTATATAATACAGCATGTGGTTTATGCCATGCCTCGTCTTATTCGTTTTTGTTAATAAACGTTTTGTAAGCTAGTTTGTCATTGTATCTTACTGTGTATTGTTGTTATGCTTTTTAATTAAGAATAACAATGAATACATCTTTTGTTTTAGTCTTAAAAAGTGAAAGGTGTGTTGATCAAAAAACGGACCGAATTTGCATGCCCTGCTGTAAATTTTGACCGGTTGATGAAAAACAAGCTTATGTGGATTCTACACATTTAAACAATAAGGTATCTAGTATTATTTATGGAGCAGATAAATACATATAATCATTTATTAATCAATTATCATTTTGACTTTTCTTTATTTAAAAGCTGAAATGTGAGGTTTACCATTTATGAAACTTTTTCAAAGCTTTATTTGAACATTTACATTAGATATTTGAACATGCTATTAGATAAACTGTTGTCAGTCATGTTGTCATTTAAAATCCGGACATCATTGGCAATGTTATTGTTTTAGTTATGCAAACAAAAACTCATTTTATTTGTTGTTTGTTGATTTTAAATGTAAAACTTGGTGAAATGATTTGTGTGTCAGTACTTTTTGAACATTTCCAGCACATTTTAACAATACCGTGATAATACTGATAACCCTGATCATTTTGGTCACTATAATCGTGATAAGAAATGTTCATACCGTTACATCCCTAG